ATCGGCTGAGAAACAGGAGGAAGTAGCGGAGGATGTTTATTTGCATTCTTGAAAGACCTCTTCTTCCTGTTGTATCCAGAATGGCAATCCGGAGGTTTTGCATTATGAATCTTATGAGGTGCATGTGTGGGGATCGGTGAGGGTGCCGGGGAATGTTTAAATCCACCACTTTCATTTGGTGAAGGTGGTTTTGCAGGCGGCAATTGCTTATTGTGCTGGTGTCTGTGGTGGTGGTGATGCTGATGGTTATCGTGGGGCTGAGGAGGAGGAGGAGGAGGAGGAGGTTGAGGTAGGGGCGCTGGAGAAGGTGTCGGGGTGCCGCCACCACTAGAACCATTAAGGGAGGGTTGTAAAATAGATGAAAGACTAATTTGCTTGACCTTCCCGAATTGAGTGTTGTTCAGACCAAGATTTTTTGTTGGAGAACCCTTAATGGTTTGAGTCAACTGTTTCAACCTTGCCATTGACGGAGTCCCAACAACCAGAACAACTGATGACTGCACGGTTGTAGGGGGGGCGACTGTTGACCCTTTTGGATTGGACAAACTAACATACAAGTTCTGCATTCCATAAGAACAAACCGAGTAAATAACAATCTTAATGGGTGCRCCCTTTGGCCATAGATTACAACATTCTCCATTTTGAGGTCTTCCATGAAAATTAGAATGTTTCCTTTTTTTGGGCACYCTAAAGTTAGAAGTACCTATTCGCTGTTGTTATCATTACTATTTACTACTTTGGGCCTGTTTGTTAGCAGCTTAATGAGTTTAATGGGACTCATARCTTATTTGGTCAAYTAAACATCCTTGCYTGGTAGTGCTTATCCAATAAGCTTCTAGGGGGAGCTTTATGCAGAAACCAAGTTTTCTCCAAACCTTCCCCTTCCAATTATAAAAACAYCCTCATTCCATCTATGAAAAAACCYTCCCCAAACAAAAACCTTCACAATCWATATAGACAAATTAATCTACACATGCAACTTAATYCATACAGGACTTAATGGAAAACCAACCAAACAACCCCTTTGTGATGCAATTGGTATCACCATAAGATTCATTTATTGTGTCATTATTGAAGGGAACTTGAGGCTTATGACTAATTTTTCTCAAGGTCAATCTAGTCATTCTTCTAGATATTTTTCTTCATTCTCTAACAAATTAGACTAATCAAACTTATGTTCATTTATCAATTCAATTCCTCAATTGGATTGGGGGAGTTTCACAACGCTGAGTGCTCGGTCAAACATTGCGATKTTAATGGACAGAAGAATATACTTGATTAGATTGATCCATAAAATTTCTCAAAAGGCATTTGTTGGTAAGCTTCTAYTATGAACAGAAATAAAACTCCCTTGTTGCGTAAGTCCAATCACCAATATTCAACTTAGAAGTGTTGACCTTTTTTACGTGTCAAACMTTTTCTATCAATAGAACYTTCCATAAAACAAAGTTATGGATTMTCTACTGAGGGRMCGTTTACCAAACACTTACTCGGTAAGCGCTTAACGGTAAAATTTAACACTATCATTTACTTACCGGGTAAGATTTTAGTCCACCAAAACGACATCGTATGCAACAATTTACCCGGTAAGCGCTTACCGTGGTAAGAGTCGTCGTCCTCACTTACCGGGTAAGACTCTTGGTCCTTGTCTCGCTCTTACCRGGTAAGATTCTTGATCCTTATTATATTCATCTGGTAASGTAATGTGACTTAGTAAGCGCTTACCCAGGTAAGACTTTGGTAAACAGCCCCTGACACTAGTTGGTTTTCAAGTCAGTAGGGAGTCCATTTGACCATGAAAGCAAGTCTCCAAGTCTTTTAGTAGAGAAAGTAACTCARCTTTCTACATTTAGTGCAAAAATAATAATCAAGATGGATTTTAGAAAAGAAATTGGGATCTGCAAGCTAACCCTACACTTTCCATTGACCATGCTCTGATGTCTGAACCTATGTTTCAAGAATAAGCAGACGGTGATGTAGGTGCATATTTGGATACCTGTGATGTGAGGATTCTAGAAAGTTGAAAATCCAAGTGTGGATATATATATATATATGGGGGGGCGAAGGATCGTGTAAGAAGGAAAGTTATGGTGAGAAACGTAAGAAGAGATCCGAACCCTTGATCACTTTTAATCTCATGTCCACACATGAATTGCGCTTTAGAAGGGAATTGATATGGTGCATCCCGGCGCACCTCATTAATGTTGACATTCAATTAGGATTGAACCAAGAGTGGAGATCTCTTCTTACGCTTYTCRCCATAACTTCGTTTCTCACCGGAACCTAACCTTGTGTGTGTACAATTTTTTAACTAAAGCAAGAAAGAAACTATCTTGTAATTTCATAATTTGTCACTAATACAAAATGAGCATACTTAGTCTTATAATGGATATCCAGTAGTTCAGTAATAGAAGGGTGCTRAGAGAATCAATATTTGATGGTGATGATATATAACCACACAAGATTCCAATTTGCATTTTGGAATTGTAGAACACTAGAGGATGTTTGGTTTATGCAAGGGAATGGAAATAGGAATTAATTCATTCCAGTTTAACCTCGAATGAAAATTTGGGCTTGTGGGGAAATGGGTCAATTATATTATGTAAAACCAAACAYTTTTTTTAAATTAAATCCCATTTATGACCGTTTAATACCTCTAACCAAACACCCCTAATAAATCACGGTCAAGGGTATCCTGGACATTCTACAGCAACTGTAGTGTATGCTATTAAGAYGACAATAATAATAATAACAACAAAAATAATAAACTTGTATTCTAAAATGGTCATAATCCTCTCTGACCTTTTTGCTTACGTGGGCTAATGTGATGAGAAGTGGGTTGTAATTTCCCAAAATGTTGGGATCCATACTTGTTTATGCGATCATCAAGAGGTCTGGATGATAGTTACAAGCCTCTTATCCACACGTAATTGGTGTGAGTTAAAAGCAACTACGAATAAAAGAATTTTATCTATTCTTTCTTCTTTTCTTGTTATAACCCAAGAAGTATAAGGAAACAAAAGACCACTATGAAGGATTGCAACAAAGACAAACTGTTCTAGCAAGCAAGTCAATTGATCAAGCTATCCAACAWATGTTGAGGGGATACTTTAGCTATTTTGAGTTTGGTCCTCTCAAAGTCTTTTCATTTGCTCTAGTATTATAACAAAAATGCTCTATTAGTATTCATGTCATTAAGCAAAAATTTGGCTAGTTTGGAGGAGCAAACCAGTTGGTCGGGGAAAATGAATGGATAGTTGAAAAAAAATCTATGGAAGGAAAATGTTGAAGGAGGTGAGGTATTGGAAGAAATGTTAAAGGCCAGTGTTAAAGGTCTGAATATTGTTCAAATACTCTGATTGCTTTTACCACTACAAATTTGTTAACATCGGGAGTACATTCAACGATTCAATTTAGAGATTAGCTACTATAAGTGAGATGATTTATTAAAATTATATCCATACACATGTATAGATACACATACGCATACATATATGTACAGACATGTGCATATGTTTTATGTAAATATTTGTAGAGTGAGGTTCAAGGAAAAACCCCCAAAAAATTGAAAAACTAAGGAACACCCTAGTAWCCATTCATTTGTACGGTTTGCACATGTGCATACAAGTAATTGAAGATGTTTCCTGGTTTCTATGCATGTGTGCATGTTTATGCACATGTGCATACTGGACAAATTACTTGTATGCACATGTGCATACCGGACAAATTACTTGTATGCACATGTGCATACCNGGACAAATTACTTGTATGCACATGTGCATACCGGACAAATTACTTGTATGCACATGTGCATACCATACAGATAAATGGTTACTAGGATGTTCCTCAATTTTTCATTTTTTTTGTGGTTTCCCCTAAACCTGACGCTACATCTGTATATGTATATGTTTATATATACATTTATATATGTATATGTTTATATATACATTTATATATGTATACATATGTGTGTGTATAAACATCCTAGGTGATTCAAATAAGAAACTAGACATAATTGAGTGGCTATAAGGTACTTTGTGTAAGTTGGATTTGCATGATATTGCTTTAGGACAATGATTTTCCAGCCCATCATTTCAACCAAACATATACTAGGCAGAGATGATACATGTTGTGTAGCTTGCATGTGTGTGTGATCTTCATGATGGAAATAGGAAGAAAAAAATTATTACCTCAAATTGRCCAAGATGCAGCCCTGACTTTAGCTGGTTTGTCAACTCACCAAAGTTGTCAAGTATTTGTTCAATAGAAAAGTTCAATGTAAAGTTGAACCGGATCTGCACCTTTTGCAGTGGATATGCACTCTGAACAGGAGTAACAGTAATTCCTCCGACAAATTTTAGCACCTCAAAAGAAGATGGTTCCCCGAACAGAGATTCGGTCAAACTTAGAGATGACTGACGTAGAACGAGAGATTCAAAAGAAGCTCTTATTAGACTTTTGGCATATGACGAGATCTTAGAATTGTACTCATCAGGATCAACACCAAAAAYAACCTTTGTTGTATTTGGCGTGGCAATACTTTCTGCCGTTATGATTACAACCTGAAGAAAAAAAACAAGTTCCATGAATGAGATGWGGAAGAAAGATCAAGAGAGAGAGATAGTATACCTTAGTAGTTGGAACTCTTAATTCATCAAATATATCTTCCCCAAGCCRTGGAAAATCGTCTTCCAGCAAAGACAACGGTTTCTGAACCATAAAAGTTGCTACTATATCATGACCTGGAGAGTTGAAACATTAATCGCTTGGTTGGATTTTAGTTACCTTTAGGCCATAAGATAGAGTAGTATTTGTATCTCAAACTTCATTTGAACATCATATGCCACATCTGACTAGATAATGGAAGGATGAAATGAAATAGAACACTAGAAAGAACAACGGCATTATCAGAAAAACATCCCACRTTGTCAAGCTATTCAGTAATCCTGTGCCTCTCTTCTTCAGGGTTGACATGCAATTCTATTATATGGGTATTATCATGAAAGAATATTCGAGACAGACAGAGTTAATTGATGTGGTAACACATTTGCTACACAAAATCACCATAAATGAATTACAGAATCACAAGTTACAAATACCAAAAACAGGAATTTGTTAACCTTTACTGATAATTTCATAACATCTAGATAGGTTATCACTAGTGGATGAGCACTTTCCAGAAACTAATGTCATTAGTGATACCCTGATTATCTCATAAGCAACTCCTCAAAAATTGGAATACGTAAGTACTACCACCCGCAAGAAATAGCCAAATAATTACAGAGCACCCATATGAAAGAGTTGAGCATGGAAAGGCACATTAAAGTGTCAACTGGGCCATTGGCCTCTAAAGTTAAACAACCAACAACGGCCAGTCTACAGAAGACGTAGAAAAAGAYATCAAAAAGACAGGGTGCTGGGCAAAGCAAAACAACCGATGACAACCCACGATATTTGCTATGTTTGAGAGGGTGATGGTAGTGTAGGGTTCACCAAGAGTAGTCTGTTGTCGTACAGCTGTTTGGAWTTCCCATGTTCTGTTTGGTTTTGAGGATTCATTTTTGTTCAGATTTTATTAGAGTCCTAAGGTTTAAGTTGTTCTCCACCTGGGTCCAATCGAACCTGCCACTAAACAAATTTTGCGTCACTTTTTCTGGTGTTTCAAAGATTTTCAGTTTTGGTCCCTGGTGTTGGATAAAAAGTTAGTCTAATAAAACAAGTATGAGGATCACTCATAAAGATTAAGGTAAGTACGGTGTGCCTCATAAAAGTTGAGGACCATTCTGCAATATTCTGGATGGTTGAGAGTAATCTTGAAGTTCCTGAATCTTTAGGGTTTATACTGCCAGTTTCTCAATAGGGGTTTCATAAGAAAATCTTTATGGAATTAACAAGTTAATAATAAAAAAGAAGAATTATTGCATTGGATAGGAACAAGAAGGGGGAGCAGACGTGCACAATTACAGTGGTAGATAAGGGARAGTCCTAACCATGAAAAATGAGGATGAATTTTGAGCAACTAGAGGTTAGCATACGGATATGGTCAGATCACGCATTATATAGAATTCATAGCAGGCCAAAATGGTCAGGTCAGCAGAGGTCATTCTTTTGAACAGCTCAAAACACAGCGAGTCAAACCTGGCTGAGCCACTATGTTTTATTATATTTCTTTTTGCAACTTCATTATTTCACATTCTACAAACACAGTAATATGTATATTGTTGTGTATAGTGAATTATACGTGTTAAGAAGAGAAAAACAGATGTTATTATGCTCCCTCCGTCCCAAAATAAATGTCCACAACGAAAATAGCACACGGTTTTAAAATGTGTACTTATTACACTTTGAATGACACTTCTACCCTTGATAATAGAGAGATAAACTTTATCCACCTCATAATTAAGGATAGAATGGGAAAGTAGACACTTACTTTTGAAAGTAGACACTTATTTTGGGACAAACTAATATAGAAATGTGAACACCTAATTTGGGATGGAGGGAGTATTTAAATTATATGCAGAAGGGTTCATAGGGTAGAGGTAGCAATGATAGGATCAACTTACACATTCATGCATCAAAAGGATCCATAATCTGTCAATCGGGGGTATCATTTTCYGCATCTTTCAGAAAAAAGGCTCATAGTCTTCCCAAAGAGGATCCACTATTCCCTTAGGTAAGGAAAAGATGAAGTGGAGGCACAAGGCATGCCCACTTGGGTAACCAGCAAAAAATGCTAAGCAAGAACCTTCACCCCAGGCTAAGAAGCACCAAAACTCATTTTTGGGGTATTTAGCTAGAGGCTAGAGCTATTCCCAAACCGAACGGACCGTTAGACCCAGCCCGCTAGAAAAGTGGGCTTGGCAACGAGTCTTGGAAAAGCGGGCAGGCCCAGACTTGCCCGTTAAAGATTAATAGGCGGACATGGGCAATGCCAAAAGAAATCGGGCAGACCCGTCTCACCCGTTTATATTTTTATAATTAATTAAATTATATTTAATACTGTTTTATAAAGGTATCGGTGGTATTGCTTTCATATTGGGCAGCGATAGTGGTGCCATTTTGCTGGTAAATGGCCATATAGCAACACTTGCTTCTAAAAACGTTTCTGGTTGGTTCACATACAATTTAAATTTATTTTATCCTTCTCCTGTAGCTTGTGGTTAATAATTTACACCAATATTGTACAAATTCTGTAATGGGAAATTGTTTGCATCTATTTGCCATGTGACATATATGGATGTTTAATATGATCATCAAAATATGCCCCTAGTTGTAAGCATTTAGGCGTGTCCTATACATTTTGTGTTAATCATTTATTTTGCATTTTTTCAAGTAAAATACTTTTTAGGCTCGTTAGTTCGTGGGCAATCCCACCCGTTTATACGGAAACTTTCAAGCCCGCAAAAATGGGTTTGGATTTCCTACATAAGGTTTGTTGCACCAAAAAAATTGGTTGGTCCTGACCCGTGTCAGCCCAGACCCATAAATGATCACCTCTAATWTAACCACCTGGGTTGAGTTTGGTAGAATGAGCCCTTTCAGCATGTCAAAATGAATGTAGATATCAAGCTGTGTTTGTCCCTGCATAAACTTTTCAAACCAAACTGGATGGACTTGTTACTCTCCCAGTAAGCATTCTCCCATTATGTCAAATTTAGATTCTCCAGGTTTTTAGCTTCTTCCTGTATCTTCCCAACAGTCTATAATAATCCAAATTAATTAAAAGTCCATGCAAGAAAACTAGGAACGCATAAGACTTCCAATAAAGCTTCATTACTACTTACCAAGCACAAGATACAGAAAAAGRATAGACCAGTAAACAGCATAGGTGGCACATAAATTACCATTTAATCAAATACTGCTACCTACAATTTTGATTAGATAACTTAACAGTAAGCAATTCATTCCTAATTTGAATTCAACTACTTATATGGTATAAATAGCATCAGCTTTTTATCCGATTATCCATTGATCAAATGAATCGAACCGAATCTCATTTAACACTGACATTGTAGACCTAAGTGAACACCGGAAAATYTGAAAGAATTGAAGCAGTCTAAAGTCCAATAAGAAATAAACATAAAATCCACGAACCCCAACTGCAGCAATTCAACCCTAAACTACACAATTCAGAGGCAAATGATCAACACTAGATTAAAATCAGATGGGGATCTRTGTCTTATGAGCAATGCCGAAATACCAGATGGAGATATAAAACAGATTACAACAGAAAAAAGAAATAAAACAAGATATTYTTTTTGCTAACCTTTATAATGAGAATCAAGATCTAGATCTCCCTGATCTCCGTGGCGAAAAAACGGGGGCAGCCAGAAAACAGCAGAGAGCAAGACCGAGAGTCCAAGAACCAAAACAAACACACATCGAAATCGAAATAAAGTAGCAATCCTAGCACAGCAGGAGCAATTGTCTGCATTACGAGTAGTTGATTGTGAATGAGTGATGGTTGTGGGTAAAGGCTCTTCTTCCCCCTTTCCCATATCGGGGAATGTGGGTTGTTTCTAATTGAATCAGTCCTCTTCTTCCCCATTGCTGGTGTGAGTTGTTGGAGCGTCCATAGCTGCAGAGATGGAGAGAGAAAAGAGTGTTGGATTTGATATAGGGTTTGAGGGGTGTTTGAAGAGAGAGTAAAGAGTAGAGTTTTTATTAACTTGGTGTTTAGTGTGTATAGATTTTCAGATTTTTCTCTCCAAAATTTCTATTTGAATATTTAAAATCCATTTTTTATAAAAATAAATAAATTTTTTTATTATTAGTAATTATTAACCCTCTTTTTTTTTTCTTTTTCTTTTTTATGAAATTTGAACCTTTGACCTCCTTAAAAATCAAAAACTCACATACCACTAAGCTAAAGACCCTTTGATAAACAAGTAGTAGATATGTTGTTTGATTATGAAAACAATAATTGGTTCTTGGTATATTTAAATTACTGTATTTTTAATTAATTGATTTATTATTTAGTTTTTTATAATTATATTTGTTACTGGCTCACTACTCCATCCTCTCCCCCTTTCCTCTAGTTTCCATGGCAGCACTTCCATTGATCGATGCTGGCAAATCTCCAGACACGAAGAAGGTATGTTTGTCCTCCATCAGGGGACTTACAAGGAACAAGAAGCTCGCAAATCTTCAAATACAGTTGCGTTCGGTGTTTGTCAACAGATATTCACCAAGGAACAAGGAACAAGAAGACGAGTTCATATCTGTCTTGCATTTGGTTGTCATAAGGAACAAGAAGATGAGTCGCCTTCTGCACCTGGTCATTATAAGGAACGAGAAGACAAATTCACAATCGMCTTTTTTCATCTGGTTACCGTAAGGAACAAGAAGATGTTTTCACAGTCGCTTTTGCATTTGGGATGTAGTGATCAAAGGATGAAAGTGGTGTTTCTCATAAAGGTGTTGGTGGGTTCATGTGTCGTGGAGGAAAGTGATGAATATCTTTCTCTTRTTTTTTTTAGTTTTGTATTTGTCTATCTCGGGTGAACCCTAGCCGACAGATCTCCAAATAAAAACCGGCTATCATTTAATAGCTTTTTATTGTAAGCAACAATAATATAATGCAGTGCAATATAATCCATTATCATTCACATTTTCATTCATTAAAACGAACCAATACCCTCTTAATTATACCATAATACATAGAATATTCATAACAAAAAGGTTGTGCGGATTGTAGGTATAATAATATTACAACATCATTAGTAACTTAAGTTATCATTAACGCAATAAATGGTCTACTGAGTAATAGTACCAGTMAAAAATATAAATAAGCTTAAGAAATCATGGTAAATCAAAATAAATATCATTAACTATTAATAATATGAAAAACAATATATAATAAAT